CGAGCCGGGTCCGAGCCGGGTCCGAGCCGGGTCCGAGCCAGGTCCGAAAGCAATAGGCCCCCAGAAAATTATCCAAAAAATGAAACTATCAAAAGGCAATGCTTTTTTTCACAAGACAACATCTTTGGCCAGGGTTTGGTCTGAACGGTGAAATGTCTTCTGTTTTCTGCTGATAAGGCCGCGTGAGACCTTGCAAGGCCTTGCGTGGATCTTTGCTCGCGTTTGCGAAGTAAAGTTCCCAGGGGCAAGCCTGGCAAAATCAAATCTGAACCAAAACTCAATTGAAACTTTCGCTGTGAGATCATATAAGATCCGGTGGGCTGGAATGAGTGCACACAAAACCCCTCAATCGGTTGATTGCATTCACTTCACAACTTGTGCCAGAAAACGGTAAAATTATATAGGATGTTCAACTGTCTTCCCAAAACATTAAGCGCCCAAGCGCGCATCAGGCAGCTCAACGCAAGGGGTGTCCCTGATAACACTGAAACCAAAATATTATGGAATTGGTTGATCAAGAAATCTAGAATCTAGAACCCAAGAAAAATTGCCATAGCTCCTCCATGTTTCTTTACCTAGTGTCACACACCGTCAAAGATTTGTTGCGCCTTCTGAGCCCAGGTTCTTTGCTAGGTTTAGCCAAATTGTTAGCCTTAAGTGTTCAGCATCTGAACTCTGTGCAGGTTGCATGAATGACCAACTCTGCGCCTGATACCAGCTTTTGGCAGCGCATCATCCCAGGTTCCTGGCATTGCTCTACCATTCTTCTCTGACAGAAACTGGTCGGTAGTTTGCTGGGTGACAACAAAAAGGTCAGGTCAGTGTTGGCAAGAAATACATTTACACCACAAGAACATAAAGTTGGCAGCTCACAGAAGCAAAGCAAGGCATGTCTTGCGTGCGACTTCCCCCACAAACATATATCAAATGCAACGTCAGCACTCCGAGTACTATGAAATGACCACCGCTCAACCAAGCCTGGTCGGCTAATCGGAACTTGAGCTGGATGTGCTCGTGCTGGAGCTAGAGGAGGAAGAACCGGAGGTTTTCTGGCTGGAAGCGGCTGCTTCAGATTGCTTTGCTGCAGTTTTTTGCAGCTTGGCCTTAGCTTTCGTTTTAGCTTTGCTCTTGGCAGCTTTCGGTTTGATAGAACGCTTCTTCTTGGATGTTGGATCACCACCCTCGGAGTCTTGATCCATCTCGATTTCTTCATCGGTGCGAATGCGTGCGGGCGGAGGCGGCAAAGTTCTCAACCTTGCTTCCAGCAAAGCAGCATCCAAGGCATCGTCTACGTTCAGTGGTTGGGCAGAGTGCTCTTTCTTTGTTGTGCACAATGGAGCAGCCAAGCACCACTGCATCAAAACACGTTTGCAAAGGTCTTTGCTGTGTCCAGCCTTGCCCAAAGACAAACTTCGCTTGCAACCAGTTCTCTCGTTCAGTTTGTGATAGTTGCAAGTGGCTTGCCATTGCCCATGAGGAGGTTTACTGCTCTTATCAGAGAATGTCAAACGGAAATGAGGGCCCCATGTGAAGGTGTCTGGGTTTACAACTCGCACTATGCCAGAAGCTGAAGGCAGCGATGGGCCCTCTGGCATGTCTGAACTTGCACTACTGGGCATCGGCGGTGGCCCACTTCCATGTGAAACCGGCCCTGTCACATCTTGAGCTGGCCCGGCTGCAAGTGACCTAGACTCTTCTGGGTCATTGGACTGAACACGAAGAACTTCAGCTTCAGCTTCACCGCCCACCTCTACAGGACCATCATCCCGCCCAGACTCATCAGACAAAGATCCAAGTGCAAGGTCCTCACCAAAGCTGTCGCTGGTATGGGTCAAGTTCAACTCACCCTCGCTGGCCTGCAAACAAGGACATGAAGCGCTTGTCACCCTCAACGCATTGTTGATAAAACCTCTTCACATGACCTGAAAGCGGACAGCCTTTAAGAAACTGGTACTGAATTAGTGACAAAGAAAAGCCCATTGCAAACAGTTGAACCTGCAAAACCTGATTGCCAGTCGCTGCGGGCCTCTTCATGAGGGGGTAGCGCATTCAATCGAGGGGCTGGAACCGGGTCTCCTCCGGCTGGGCTCGGCACTGCATCAGGGTCCACATCAATCTCAAGCACGAGCTTGGGATCAGGGCGGTCAATCAACGACTTGTCTGGCAATGCCACATGCCCACGATGTTTCCTTTCCAAAACTTTTGTGTAGTAGGCTTTGCTCTGACAATGATGCAGCACCTCCAAATCGCCAGACTGAAACAAACTTGTGGACTTCAAAAGAGCCAGCATATAGCACCAATGAGGGTGCACAGCGGTACTTGGCAAAAACCAAACGAGTTCATCGGCATTCAGCTTATGTGGCATTAAAGCCTGTCTGCGTGCACGAGTGGATGGTGCCTGCCTCAGCGTCCAACCATGGTGCTTTAGCAAAGTGAACAATTCCCAGGAACTACAAGCTACCCAATCTTCGGAAGGCAAATCTGCAAGCGCCTCTGGACTTCTGAAGACAGGCGTGGGAACACTGGACATGTGCACATGACGCAACTGCTGGAGACCAGACAAAGTCAATCTCCACTCTCGCTCTGCACCCTCGGAACAAACTTCAATTGCCTTCAAATTTAGCAAAGCTTCAGCAGCATCTTTGAACTGCGAGTCAGCCGAATCCAACTGAAGCTTCAAATGTCTAGGCTCATGGGTTGATTCATTCTGGCATGGGAAGGCCTTAGCCTGGACAAACCGCTGCAAAAGTTTCATCACCTGGGCATTCATGGAAGCCTCACCTTTGGCCAGCACAAAAGACAACTCCTTGACAGTTGACCATGATGTCAAGGATTCCCTCAAGAGGTCAGGGTTCGCTCTGCAAGCCGACAGGATTCCAATTGGCGTGTTCACGCCCTCGGCCTTTGTAGGCTCCGCATCAACGTACCATCGGGATGAAACTAGCCAGGCTGGGTGGATGGTCACACACAAATCCTCTGGCCCCAAGCGAGAGGAACTGGCTGCAGGAAGTTGGACCAGCTTCCGTCTGCTGGGCCGGGCGCAAGTGATTCTGAAAAACAATGTCTCAAGGGGTTGGTCACCATCAACAAGCTCATCTTGCACTACACCGTGGGCATCAGATATCAAAAGCGAATCCATTGCACCCTGATCAGTCAAAGGCAGGACAGCTTGCATATGGGCAGGCTTCAAGGCCTGCTCCAAGGATGGCAACGCCACGTCAGACCCAACACTATAGAGCCTCCCAATCACAAGGTGTGTTTGCAGATGGGAAGCCATGGCCGACCTCTCAACTGCAGCTTCACTAAACCTTCTCTTGGGCTTGAAATATGCCATCCATTTTTCTTGGATAGACTTTCTCTTTGCAGCATGCTTTTCACGTGCTTTTTTCATTGACGTCAGGTTGGCGTATTGTGACTCGACATCCAACGAATAAAGAAAAGAGCTCACCAAAGCCATCTTCTTCCGCTTGCCAAACTTTTCAGCACAAGCATTCTGCCATAGAGGGTGCCTCCAAAACCCGAACCGCTTCGCCAAGTGATCTGGCTGGGAGATCTCTTCGAACTTGCCTAGAAAGCTGGAGTATTTCTCTGCTGAAGAAAGAATTGCCTTGACTTCAGGCATGCGGATGGCGCAGGCAATGTAAGGCCCATTGACACGCCGGTTCTGAACCATGCGGTTGACAATGCTATGATCTCCCTCTTGGATTCTCTCAACCACAGGGAGAAACCTCATCTCTGACACTAGCTTGAACAAGTCTGGTAAGCATGTGAGGTCTTGCCCACCAATGAACTCCTCGAGCTGAGATCGAGTGGCGGACCCAACTTGCAAATGTTTCCATGTCAGCCGGTGGTGTAAGTCCGGATTTGCAGGCGCCCTGAGGACCAAACATCAAAGCAAAAAACAACAAACCAAACCAGTTCAGAAGAACATCAAAACCACCGTTTCACCACCAGAACTAGAAACGTTGGGCCGGAATAAAAACAGGGTGAGAGGTCCACTAAAGACCGGTCCTTGGTCTGAATATAAAACACACACAAGTTTGGGCAGACCACCTGACCTAGAAGGCATGCTAAAAACTTGGTCCCAAATTCATTGTAAAAGGGCCTCCTGTACAAGACTTTCAACAAAAAGAGTGTCCAAGTAATATCAATGGGTGGCATCAACCTTTGTTTTGTTTGCAGCAACTAGGGGGCCTGACAAACTCATCCAGCGCTTCCTTTGCGTGTCGGCGGGCTTCGTCCACATCTTCCACACACAGCGCAGCCAGCCTCCAAGGCAACACTCGCCAGCACTGAAGCTTCTGAGCCAGGTAGGAGATCATGCTTGCTTTGCCCAGGGAGAAATCAGACAACACTTGGTCAGTCTCGCTTGGATCCGTGCAGGAACAACATTCCATGAGCTCCAACAAGTATGAGCGACCAAGTTCTTCCATGTAGGATTCAGCAGCGCCTGCAGCAAGTTGAGGGGCCCTGCGACCAGCGAGAGGGCAAGGCGAGAATTCAGGGCCGTCTCCATGGCCAGACTGAAAGCCTTGAGACTTCCTTGCTGCACGCAATTGCTCGCATTCATCCGAATAGACTGCCCGTGACCGTCCGCCTGCATGGCTTTGGACATACTTTGGTTTCAACCAGAAATGGCATTCGCACCCTTCACACCAGGAGCTGAAATCGGAACTGAAGCTATTCAGCCTCAGGATCATCTGCGCATAAAACCACCACCACTCGCTGCGAATGGTGGTAGTCAGAAGAGCAACATCAAGCCGGTCCGAGTCCTCTCCATTTGCATCTCCTGCTTCTCCTGCTGGATCACCTGGCACACACACACACACACGCACCAGAGCACAAACGCATAAACAACTACCAAAACACTAGTTGAATTAACCAAATTAAACCCTGTCAATTGAAACACATGAACATGGCCAGAAGCCTGCCTGACCCTTGAAAGCGGCTTTGGTCCCAAACAGTTTGCAAGGCATGCTTGCGTGAGAGAATAGTTGGGAGCGAGTTGGCCACTGTATTCCATCTCCAAGTAGCTGGTCTTGGAACTCCTTGAGCAAAGAGATCCTCCATCCATTCGAACGGTGTCCCCTTGATACACAGGCCAATCAATTGTTTGCGGAGGTGGTCGTGGTGTAGCAAAGTCGACACAGCCTTGTAACCTGGAAGCCATGCCTTCCAAAAAGTCAAGGAGCTGTCTGCTTCCAAAGACATATTATGACAGACATGGAGCACTCCAGGGCAAAAAACGGCATTGGGAAAGACAAAGTCTGTCAAGGCTGCGTTTGCACCCTCCTCACTTTGCAAACCATAGTCTGAAATCCAAGCTGGTAAGATTGACTCAAGTTTGATTCCGGAAACATCGGCCAAAGACATCTCTGTTCCCAGGTCCGTGCAAAATCCCCTTACAGAACCTAGCAAAGACTCCAGCAAAGGCGTGCTTTGAGCTTCAACCCAAAATTTCCGGCAGACTGCTCGCAGTTTGTAGTCTATGGATGAGGCTCTGGAACCTATGGCAATTGGTACTTGTCGATGTGACTGCATTGCTTCTTGCAAGAACTCGCCATCTTGGTGGCGCTTTCTGGCCAGTCGGACCATTTCCTCCTTGTCGTCCATAGCAAGTGCTTGGCGAAAGGCTCTCACGGACGATGCCAAGGATGTGGCAGCGTTCACGCACGCTGGAAGATCACAATCCTGTATCAAACTGATGATCGAAAGCAACCAGTCCGATCCTGCCTGTGGGCTGGCATCGGCCCACACATAAATTGGGCCTTTGTGAGCAGACAGGTGCTGTCGCCAAAAGCAACAGTATGCAGCATCAACTTCAATCTGCTTCCTGGAAATAGTGGCTGCCGACAACAGCTTGGTGTTCTCATATGCATCGAGGCTTTGGCCAGGAAAGCGGCTCTCAAAAGCAAGCTTGAATGTTTCCCCAAGCTGACTGCGATCACGAAGGTTCATAGCTGCAAGACAGGCTTTTACGATGGCATTGGGATCGATCTTTGCATTGGTGAACTGTGGCGTGGACTGCTGGGCAGAAAAATGCCGCAAGCGCAACACGGTTTCTTCCATGAACATTCTGAATTTGGTTTGGTCACCTTCAAGCTTGCAATCCAATCGGCCATCGAACAAGGAACACAATTCCAAGGCCAAAGCCTCTGCAAATGCTGGTGTAAGTTGGAAATGACTCCCAGGTTGTGGCACAAAACCCCTCAACTGCTCAAGCTGCTGCAACTGCGCGAGCCACATCTGGCGTGGCAGGCCAAGTTCTTGAACGAATCTTTTGAAAGCGGGTTGTCTTTGCAATGTTTCGACCCATCTCCCCTGTAGGACTAAAGCTTCCCAATCTTTATGCTTGACAAGTTCTACGAGCACAGCTGGCACTGCAAGGCATATTGGGTCTTCTCCGAACGAACGAAGCTCAGCGTCACTAACCCCTAAAGTTTCAAGCACAAGTGTTTTGTCGATACGATTGGCATCTCCGTAAACAGGGATTTGCCTGGCTTGCATGTTCTGTACATCAAGAGGCACACCTGGAACCCAAAGAGGAACCTTCTTCCTTTGCGGGTTGCACACATTCAATCCTGGGTCCAAAAATACTGCAGCGCGTATGTTCACAGAAAACGCATCACGAGGCCGCCCAACATGTTCCCACAACAGCAACTCTTCCTTTGTCCACATGGTTAAAGGTCCGTGGTATTCGCGGCCTGGTGCTATTGAGGCGATCACAACACATTTGGATTCATGCTCTTTTGAGGTTGTTCCGTGGCGTGATGCCAACAAATGGGACAGCTCGTGCTTAGCCACAACTGAAGTGAACCAATTTGGCCTTGGAAGAACCCGTCTTGCAGATTCTCCCTTTGCAGTCATGTGTCTCTTCCGAGCATGCTGGCAAACAAGTGCCAACAAAACCATGGCCTGCTGGACCTACAGGAATTACTTGGCAAAGGTACTTGGTTTTTGAGTGAATATGCAAACATGACCAGAAAAACACATGGGTTCCTCAGTGCCAGCGCTTTGCAACGAACATGAGGAAGTTCTTTATACAACAAGCGCTGCCTAAATAGCATGAACTCTACTCTTGTGTCGTTACTGGTGCCTGTGCTGCGTGTGCCCTGTCAAACGGTCAGAACATTCGGCCGGGCAGTTTCTGTACATCATTGACACATACAAGAGCGTTTCTGAACTCTTCAAGCGTACAGTCTGAAAAAAGAACAATCTGAAAGAATTCGAGCACAGCGTTTCTATTAGCCCAACATAAAATTGTCAGCTTGGTCCAACTGAACAAATGCGAACCGAGAACCCACATATTAATTTATCTAAGTATACCCACCCAAACGAATCACCAAACGCGTCTACGCCAAAACTCCTAGACTCTGGGCCATGCCTTAGAGGGACCAGGCACGAAGAACAGGAACTCACGCGCGCACGAGTAGACAAAACATCAAAGAAACAACGAAACAACATTTTCAAATTTCAATTTTGGGATTTTGCTGCGCACGGGACTCTCACGCACAAATAACTCACATGCCTGCTGCGCAGCAAGCACTGAGCCAGCAAGCCTTTCGTGCTACTCTGGAATCGTTGTCATTTACTTCGCTTGGCGCCAGTGTTAGGTTAGAAGAAGACATGCAGAAGGCATGCACTCCAGTTTGCTCAAACCTGCTAAAACTCAAGAAGACAAGGCCTCCTGGAAATCTAACAGGCTGAGTTGTAAGAAAATATAAAGGAACCAGGTGCATCAGAAAGGCGATCAAAGTGAGTATGAAACAAAATTCGACAAAGTGAAAGTGAAAAGGCGACGGCCGTTTTCCGTGAGTGAGTGGGTCCAAAAATCATCGGCGAAGATCATGATGTAGCCAGTCGTTGTAGTTCAAGAAGTTCGGCCCACCAAGCGCGGATCTGAGACTCTGGGCGCTGCATTTTGGTGGTGATGTAGCGCCAGCTAGGTCGAAGTCGTTCGTTGCATTTGAGGCTGAGAAGGAGATCATCGTCTTTGGTGCTCCAATCGTCGTCCCAAGAAGTGTCTGAGTGGTGCTGAGGGGAGGGAGAGGGGGAGGGAGAGGGGGAAAGGGAGCGGCGTTTGCGGGGCCGAGGGTAGGGGGCCGTGTGGGGCAGAAGAAACGAGGGAGCAGGAGATGGAAGGGGAGGGGGGAGGAGGAGCCTGAGAGGAGGGCGGTGGGTAAGCGAAGTCAGGAGGGGAAAGAACGGGTGAAGGAGGAAAGGAGAGTGGGGGAGGGGAAGAGGGAGTGGCCCCATCAGCGACAGGAAGAGAAGGTGAGGGGACAGGAGAAGAGGGAGGGGGAAAAGGAGAAGGAAGGGACCGAAAGTGGGGGAGGAGTGGTGGGCAAGGGGAGTACGCTTCCCAGCTGAGGATGTCGGTGTCGGCGATGGAGTCTTCTGACGAGTCAGTGAGAGCTCTGAACGAAATGCAGGTTGTTCGCAGGGTGCCCAACTGAAAGAAGGTCTCGTGGTGGTCCGAAACAACGGTGATGCCGGGCTAGCTGGTGGTCTGGAAGGACAAGAACCGGAAGTCATGCCGGCGGGGGAGGTAGCATCCGGATTTTGAATCATATCCACCAATAGGCGAAGTGCGACAATGACAATGTTGAGTTGCGTCGCGATAGTAGAGACCAGGTCGGAAGTGGTCGATTGTGACATAGTCCAGGTAGAAACCAAGGGTAAAGGTGAGGAGCACGCTTTTGAGCCGAGAAGCTGAGAGATAACAGAAACAGAAAAGGAAAAATGTGTGGTTCGAAAAATGCATCATAGCAGTAGTGATGGACATCAATGTGAGCGCAGGGAGTATTTTCAAGCGAGGAATGGTCTCAAGTGCTGCATCAAGAGAAACTGAGAAACCGAAGTTGGGAGTGAAGTGCTCGTTGTGGTAAATGAAAGCGATGACAAAGTTGATGAAGAAGGGGTAGGAGTTGAACCATAGTGAAGTCTTTGTCGAGGTATTGTTGAGTCAAGTCCGTGAGTTGAGGGAGGATCAAGTCCCGAGGGCGAGTCAGGCGGCAAATCAAGATGCCACGTGTGAAGAAGCCAGCAAGAGCCATGTCCGGAGAGCCGGCAGTACGATTAGATTGCTGCGGATCAATGTGAGGTGGGGTGGTTGCCGAAAGGCAATAGTGCGTTGAGAGGTGGAAAGAGCAAAACCGAGCAATGTCTCATCCGCGACATACTCCATCTCAAGTGGTCTGCCGTAGAAGAACGGCTGAGCGATGGCCTGGAAGGAGTCGGTGTGGAGCATATGGGCAGGTCCAAGGAAGAAGACATTGTCGACGTAGCGTGCCCGAAGTGCCAGCCCCGTGGCATAGCGCCAGGAAGAGGACGGGAAAGATCGTAGAAAGCAGTATTCCCGGAAGAGTGCAACAGCGCTGCATAAGGCAGGTGCCAAAGGTGATCCCATGGAAGCTCCTTGACATTGTCGAAAGACTGTCAGTCCCACTGTGAAGTAAGAGGACTCCAGCAAGTGAAACACCAAGTTGGGTAGGTCACGGAGGTGGATAGGGTGATAGGATCGAGAGGTCTTGCGCCAGCGTCCCCGAAAGATCCGTTGAAGACGTTCCTGTTGGTGTTGAGCCACGCTGAGAATGGGATCGTCTTGTAGGTCCAGACCTTGGAGAGCAGCGTAGCGTGTGATCAAGAATTCAACAGTGGAAACCATGCGGGGATGGGTGACGAAGTTGAAGAGCCCGGCGATGTCTTGTTGAAATAGAACAAGGTCGTCCGTGGGGTCATACTGCTGCAGTATAATCTTCCAAAGGCGTCGGAGAAGAGGTAGAACGTCCGAGAGGGCGGTCAACTCCGGGAAGACGATCTGTAGAAGGCAGTAAATGGCGGAGGCAACCGTCTGACTGAGTGGGGCGCAGGCTGTCTGTGTGTAAGACACTATTGGTCGTGCTTTGCTCCAGGCCCGAGAATGTTTTGGGAGGATGTATGCGGAAGGTAGACGACGATCCCAATGTAAGCCCCAACGGTAGCGTTGAAGAAGGTGAGGTGGCCATGTGTCACGTAGGCGGTTCCTGATCAACTGGATGCCGTGTCGTAGTGGTTGGAAGACTGGTGTAGATGTAGTAGGAGTTGGCATGAAAGTCTTGAGGAGGATGGCGGTGTGTGGAAAATGGTCACCAGGTCCAACGATACAGCCTTTTGTGAAGCGGCGAAATGCCTGAACTTCAGCGGTGAACCAGCCAGTCATTTGACGTTCAACATGACGTTCCCATTCCTGCCGAAAGAAGTGTTGCCATTCAATGTGAAGGTGAGAGGGAAGCTGCCAAGCATGTAGCCAGCGGTCCATCTGAGTGACGGAGTGGTTCAGAAAGTGACGTTCCTCGGGCCATACAGTGTCTTGAAGATTGGCTTCCGAAAGTAGCAAACCCGGAAAAATGTCTGAGGCGAAGCCAATGATGTGGTTGGAATCAGGATGTCGAGGGAAATCATGTCGGATTCGATGGCAGCTGCATTGGGGTGAAAAGGATGGGGTCCACTGTCGTAGAAGAGTTCGGAAGTTGAAGAGGTAGTGTTCCAATGTGTGAGACTTGACCTCAATGATCGGTGAAGCTGGTACTTGTAGCGGTGGAAAAAGGTGAGAGTGGAGTCGTAGAAAACCGCGAAAATGTTGGCGACAACGTTGTAGAAATCCGTGAGATAGTTGGAAGAGTCTGAGGGTGGCCTGGGCTGGTGGAATCATCAGGTTGCGAAAGCGGAAGATCAGTTTGAGCTGAGCGGCGGCGCGTGAGCGCCAGGGTTCATCAATGTGAAAGTGTTGGAACCAAAGGAGATAGAGAATCTCCTGGGAGGCGGAGTGACTGCGAAGTACCCGAGAGGTGAAGAACTTCTCTTTGGTGTCGCTTCCCAATCGATGGAGAAGGTGAAGAACGTCTAGGGTCTTGAGTAAGTGTAGATCCAAGATGCACTCCTGAGCGTGATGACGTTCGGTTCGACGTTGATGCCGATGAAGACGTGTCATGCCAATAGGACCGTGGCGAGTCGTGGGAATGTTGTATTGAGGTACACGAAGACCGTGTCGTCGAAGTAGAGGGTTGATCCACGGGTGATTGAGTTGAGGGCGGTATTGCTGTTGGAAAGAGATTTCTGTGGAGCGAGTGGTCAAAGTGTCGGAGTTGAGTTGGAGGGGGATGACTGCATGCTGAAAGAATGCGCGAGTCCGCTTCCAGTAGCGTAAGGCAGGTTCATAGTAGGCATTGATGCCGCTGCAAAGTTGTCGGTATTTCCGTTTCCGG